GTGCGACCGATATATTTACACATACGTCATGACATATTTCAGTGTGGGTGCAATGCCGTTATATTCATGAACCTAGTTTGGACTGGCAACGTATAACTGTATACCGGATGGGTTCACTTTGCTAACGAAGTGATCTGTGAGTGACAACTTGCCCACTGCAGCCCCCGTGAACCCTTCCGTCACTGTGTAGCCCGCCTGGTTGGTAAGTCCGACATAGGACAAGGTGGTGTTCACGATAGCTGCACATCCTCCGTCTCCAAGGTTCAGGATAGCGATGGCGAACTTCCCCACTGGTGACAAAGGCCTGGACCAAATTTCAATGTTACCAACCTGGAAACAATCACAAGTACAATTGAGAGACACCACTTCAATGAAAACAAATGTAGAAAAAGGACATATGAATACATATAAATGCATATTCATTAGAACAGACAGTCCAATTGTTTTTAAGGAATGAAACAATTGGACTCAGTCTGTCTTTTTAATGATTTCTCCCACCTGCCAGCTCGACCATTTTGCAGAGAAACAAAAGGACAACAAAACAGAAGTGAGTCTATCCTGATTGAGCCGGTTCCCGTTCAGGCCAAGCGCTTTATATATAGACATTTTTACCTGGGATTTCCGGGTCCCCTGAATCCCCAGCGGATCCTGGTTGATGGCTATGAGGTTCTTGTTAAGGAGGAGTTCCTTCGTCTCCTGTCGAATGTCCTCCAGGTTGTTGGACATGAGGAGCGGGGACGCCATGACAGCCCACATCGCCATCTGCACTCGCTGCTGGTCGTAGCTCAGGCCGAAGTTGCCCAGAATAATCTAACAGTACAAACACTTCCAGATGCAACATGTTTCAAAGTTTGGAGCGCAAAATGTTCCCGATCTTTTGATTTGGCCAAGTAGGCTGTCACATGCCAAAATGTTTATTTTGAAAAATCACATGGCATAAAGGAGGGAAAACGAATGCGATTGTATTTTCTATTTTATGATTATGTGTCTCTTTGCCTCTCTCACAATATTCCTAACATTATAACTAGAGCAAGAGCTTACACCTCATCGACACAACTTCAGAATTATTTTAAGTAAATTCAGCCTGAATGTTGACTAATCATGACGACTTATAAAATTCCAATCAATTATTCACAAGTGTGTATAATATGTGTGTATTATTATTCACAAGTGTGTATAATATGTTAGAAAATCTCAAGCACATATATGTACCATAGGAAGATATGATGTATTTCAATGTTAAGCAGCAAAAACTAGCATGCTCACCATGTCTGGATCGTTGAAGTTGCCGGGACCGGCGAACTTGGTGAAGTTATCTTTGTCGTCCCCGTAGAAGCCGATGATGCTCTTCACGCTGTCCCAAGAATCCTGAATGTCGCCATAATTCCTCCAGATGTTGCAGTTGTCTGCAATTGTCTTGTAGTCAGGCTAGTAAAGCAAACATACGACTGTGTTAACACGGGACAATATTGTGAGCATGTATGAGTTGCCGGTTTGTGCATTTTCTTTGCCCTATGATTTTATTCTTACTCCCATACTTTAACCAACGAGTGACTGAGCTAAGATCGACCCAAACGGCATTAGCTTCGAGCTCGCGTACATGAATCATAAACAAAACTTCGGGCTTGCTGACATAAATCATAAACAAAACTCCACTACATACGTACATCTTTCACGTAGGCAGGCCAGCTGCAGGAGTACAGGATTGGTCTGCCGGTCTTGTTCAAGAAGAACTCCATCAGCGGATACCCTGGAATAATGATCACCATTAATCTACTTACTGAAACAATTGACACTGACACGTCCAGCACAATCACAGTAAACTCCATTCATATTCGACACTATCTGATGTGACCATGAGTCTTTGCTTGAACGAAACATACTCCTGATCGTCGTTTCATCAAGACATAAAGGTCCCAAACACCATTGCTTCCGGTTCTCCACCAAAACGTAACTGACACACCATATAACCAGATTATCTGCCCACAGAAGAGACTACCCCAATTTCCTCGCTCAAGAGTATTTTCACCTGTGTTACATACTATAAGATGTTGTTGAAGAGATTACATTTATCAAGGGGGGACAATTGGAATCGTTGAAGTTGCCCGGGCGATTTGTTTGTATGTTGTTTAACGCCGCACTCAGCAATATTCCAGCTACATGGCTGCAGTCTGTAAATAATCGAGTCTGAACAAGACAATCCAGTGATCAACAGCATGAGCATCGATCTACGGAATTGGGATACGATGACATATGTCAACAGAGTCAGCGAGCCTGACCTCCCCATCCCGTTAGTCGCCGCTTACGACAAGCGGGGTTAACCTTTGCTGAAGACCAATTCTAAGAGGAGGTGACTTGATACCGTGACTTGATAGGGCGACCTACTGCCAGTCTTATAGAGATAAAGCAGCAATTGTCAGTGAGAGCAGTAATAAACATCGTCTCTATACGATCAGAAACACAATAATTTCCACCACACCCTTTTCAACATGACACTGCCCTGAAGCCATTATGTGGAACCAATTTCCATTTAGGCCCTCGCGCTCTCAGTATGTTCTACTTATAATTAGTCAACATGAAATCCCAAAACACAAATACCCGCAGCGTAATCATCAGGGTTGGTGTAACAGCCGTCCAGTTTGAGGGAGTCGATGCCCCAGTCTGCAAAAGTCTCAGCGTCCACGTCCATGTAGAACTTGCTGCCGGGGTAGCCGCCGCATGTCTCGGTTCCGAAGTCGCCGTAGATACCAAGCTTAAGTCCTTTAGAGTGCATCTGGAGAATAGCATTAACTTGAGATGAACACAAAGCATGTGCATGACAGTGTAGTGAAACCCCCTCAATCCCGAGGACGTGTGTGAGTATGTTTTATGCGGCCTTTAGCAATATTCCAGCAATATCACGGCGGGGGACAACAGAAATGGGCTTCACACATTGTACCCATGTGGGGATTCAAACCCGGGTCTTCAGCGTGACGAGCGGACATTTCAACCATTAGGCTACCCACCGCCCCGAGGATGTAAGAATTATAGAGAGATGTTCCTGGGGGCGTGGCTACAGGACCAACGGGGTCCCGATGTCATTAGGAAAGGAAACATCTGCCCAATCGATCGGTAGCCATGGTAGCGACCTGTTGGCATGATAAACAATATGCGTAAACTTCATAGAGGAAGAAAGGTCAGCCGTCTTCACAAGAGCCTTTATCGTGCAAGTTTAGTCTTAGTACTTTAGTTTTAAACAGCTTTAACTACTTTGATGTACAATAACCGTCGTTAGCTTTATAATTCAGTGGCAGAGAAAACTACCGTTACAAGGACACTCCGGGTCCCGTCGGTAAGTAACAGTTTAAGGAAGGGCCCTAAAGTGTACAAAGGAAGAAGGCGGTTCGCGCCAAAGGGAGGTGACTCTAATGCATGTATTTTAACGATTTTAATTCAATAATATTTCTGTTTTTTCATGGCGTGTCATTATGAGAAAGGTAAGAAACGTAAAAGTGAAACACATCTAAGAAGTTTTGCGAAACCCACTGGTTGTTTGTTGTTTAACACCATGTTTAAAACATTTCACGGGGATCACCAAACATTCTTAATCCAATCTGGACCAGATGATGCAGTGATTGACATCATGAGCATCTATCTTCGGAACCGGGATGCGATGACATGCATCAACCACGTCAGCAAGCCTGACCATCCAATCCCGTGAGTTGCCTCTCGCACTATTCATGGTGTTAGGGAAGACAAAATACCATGATGTCTTACATATTTTGCTAGGTCTGCCATTCCACTGGGGAACCTTGCTGGATCCGGAACGATCTTGCCCTCGGCATCTCTGTCCTTCAGAGGCCAGCAGTCGTCGATGTTGACGTATTCATAGCCGACATCTTTGTAGCCGTCACTAACAAGTCTATCAGCCATGCGCTTGAAGAGACTCTCGCTTAAACAGACATTTGTTCAAATTAATCAGAATATGCTCTATCAAGTCACTGGATTATCTGGTCGATCATTTTGATTGTCTAACGAAGAGTACTAGTCGTATTGCGGATGTAAGTCTCAGCGGCGCTAGAAACAAAAAACACAGTTACATTATTATGCAATTTCTGACAGACGCTAGGGTTAGGGCAGGATTTCTGTCTAATTTCTGATATTCAGTGACCAATACCAATGCTGATTGGCCTTTTGTGCTATTAACTTTTGACTGACAGGTTACATCTTGTTACAATGATTTTACCATAATTTAGATCTTAGCATACACAATAAATAAACACGGGGTGATTTCATACGTTATTACTTAATGCATGGTATCGAAATGGTAAATGAGGCAACAAATGCAAATAGCGGTACGTAATGGTATGTGTTTGTTTTTCAATGTCCTGCCAGGCCACATTCCAATATTCCATGTGTACATTGTTTGTTAACATGAAATGCAACCTCGTAAAATCAGGTCTTATTTCTCGCAACCTCTAACCAGGCTTTGTTAATGGCAGCGAGAATTGTGATTTGATTTTCATTTGATTGATATGAAGTGATAAATAAAAGAAGAATGAATACAAGTTCTCTAAATTTGACGGCCTCACAACTAACCAAGAATAAGTAACCTAAAGCTACATATACTGCGTTTTACGTAGGTCCATACAACTTAGACAAAAGGGTGTTTGATTGTACTTTCTAAAGTTTTAACCTATTCAAATGTATTTATGTAAGATGGCTGGATGTATTTTCAAGTGCAGAAACGAAAAAAACAATTGACCAAATATGAAGCCCACCTGATTGAAACCGTGTCATATACCAAGTAATTTAGCTCACCTGATACAGTTGTCAGGTTGTTGCACACAATCAGTAATGCAGACTCAAGCACAATGTGGTTGAATTAGTTATCCATGTTAAACTGTAGCTTGGCATCTCAGTGCGCCGGCATAATAAAACCATTATAAGCCCCAAAAATGTAAAACACACACGCACGCGCACACACACACAAACTCACTAACGCACGCAAAGAACAACTCTTTGGGGTTGATATTATTTAATAACACGCATACAATCTCAATGGCACAGAAGCAATGCAATCATAGTACATTGGCTGAAGTGGGGAGCAGTACATACAATCACGTGTTAACAGGCAACCATGTGGTTTGTCAGTTCGTTGTATCAAATCAATGGCAGTTGAATGGAACATAATAATATACATGAACGGCAACGACCTTAGATTCATACAAGGTCTGACAACCTGAGACAAAACTGACACATGAATACTGAAAATGTAAAAATAGTTCTAACAAAACAAGTCATGGGTAAATCGTGCGACCGCCATATTTACACATACGTCATGACATATTTCAGCGTGGGTGCAATGCTGTTATAGTCATGAACCTAGTTTGGACTAGCAACGTATAACTGTATACCGGATGGGTTCACTTTGCTAACGAAGTGATCTGTGAGTGAGAACTTGCCCACTGCAGCCCCCGTGAACCCTTCCGTCACTGTGTAGCCCGCCTGGTTGGTAAGTCCGACATAGGACAAGGTGGTGTTCACGATAGCTGCACATCCTCCGTCTCCAAGGTTCAGGATAGCGATGGCGAACTTCCCCACTGGTGACAAAGGCCTGGACCAAATTTCAATGTTACCAACCTGGAAACAATCACAAGTACAATTGAGAGACACCACTTCAATGAAAACAAATGTGCAAAAAGGACACATATATTGAATATATATAAATGCATATTCATTAGAACAGACAGTCCAATTGTTTTTAAGGAATGAAACAATTGGACTCAGTCTGTCTTTTTAATGATTTCTCCCACCTGCCAGCACGACCATTTTGCAGAGAAACAAAAGGACAACAAAACAGAAGTGAGTCTATCCTGATTGAGCCGGTTCCCGTTCAGGCCAAGCGCTTTATATATAGACATTTTTACCTGGGATTTCCGGGTCCCCTGAATCCCCAGCGGATCCTGGTTGATGGCTATGAGGTTCTTGTTAAGGAGGAGTTCCTTCGTCTCCTGTCGAATGTCCTCCAGGTTGTTGGACATGAGGAGCGGGGACGCCATGACAGCCCACATCGCCATCTGCACTCGCTGCTGGTCGTAGCTCAGGCCGAAGTTGCCCAGAATAATCTAACAGTACAAACACTTCCAGATGCAACATGTTTCAAAGTTTGGAGCGCAAAATGTTCCCGATCTTTTGATTTGGCCAAGTAGGCTGTCACATGCCAAAATGTTTATTTTGAAAAATCACATGGCATAAAGGAGGGAAAACGAATGCGATTGTATTTTCTATTTTATGATTATGTCTCTTTGCCTCTCTCACAATATTCCTAACATTATAACTAGAGCAAGAGCTTACACCTCATCGACACAACTTCAGAATTATTTTAAGTAAATTCAGCCTGAATGTTGACTAATCATGACGACTTATAAAATTCCAATCAATTATTCACAAGTGTGTATAATATGTGTGTATTATTATTCACAAGTGTGTATAATATGTTAGAAAATCTCAAGCACATATATGTACCATAGGAAGATATGATGTATTTCAATGTTAAGCAGCAAAAACTAGCATGCTCACCATGTCTGGATCGTTGAAGTTGCCGGGACCGGCGAACTTGGTGAAGTTATCTTTGTCGTCCCCGTAGAAGCCGATGATGCTCTTCACGCTGTCCCAAGAATCCTGAATGTCGCCATAATTCCTCCAGATGTTGCAGTTGTCTGCAATTGTCTTGTAGTCAGGCTAGTAAAGCAAACATACGACTGTGTTAACACGGGACAATATTGTGAGCATGTATGAGTTGCCGGTTTGTGCATTTTCTTTGCCCTATGATTTTATTCTTACTCCCATACTTTAACCAACGAGTGACTGAGCTAAGATCGACCCAAACGGCATTAGCTTCGAGCTTCGCGTACATGAATCATAAACAAAACTTCGGGCTTGCTGACATAAATCATAAACAAAACTCCACTACATACGTACATCTTTCACGTAGGCAGGCCAGCTGCAGGAGTACAGGATTGGTCTGCCGGTCTTGTTCAAGAAGAACTCCATCAGCGGATACCCTGGAATAATGATCACCATTAATCTACTTACTGAAACAATTGACACTGACACGTCCAGCACAATCACAGTAAACTCCATTCATATTCGACACTATCTGATGTGACCATGAGTCTTTGCTTGAACGAAACATACCCTGATCGTCGTTTCATCAAGACATAAAGGTCCCAAACACCATTGCTTCCGGTTCTCCACCAAAACGTAACTGACACACCATATAACCAGATTATCTGCCCACAGAAGAGACTACCCCAATTTCCTCGCTCAAGAGTATTTTCACCTGTGTTACATACTATAAGATGTTGTTGAAGAGATTACATTTATCAAGGGGGGACAATTGGAATCGTTGAAGTTGCCCGGGCGATTTGTTTGTATGTTGTTTAACGCCGCACTCAGCAATATTCCAGCTACATGGCTGCAGTCTGTAAATAATCGAGTCTGAACAAGACAATCCAGTGATCAACAGCATGAGCATCGATCTACGGAATTGGGATACGATGACATATGTCAACCAGGTCAGCGAGCCTGACCACCCGATCCCGTTAGTCGCCGCTTACGACAAGCATGGTTAACCGTTGCTGAAGACCAATTCTAAGAGGAGGTGACTTGATACCGTGACTTGATAGGGCGACCTACTGCCAGTCTTATAGAGATAAAGCAGCAATTGTCAGTGAGAGCAGTAATAAACATCGTCTCTATACGATCAGAAACACAATAATTTCCACCACACCCTTTTCAACATGACACTGCCCTGAAGCCATTATGTGGAACCAATTTCCATTTAGGCCCTCGCGCTCTCAGTATGTTCTACTTATAATTAGTCAACATGAAATCCCAAAACACAAATACCCGCAGCGTAATCATCAGGGTTGGTGTAACAGCCGTCCAGTTTGAGGGAGTCGATGCCCCAGTCTGCAAAAGTCTCAGCGTCCACGTCCATGTAGAACTTGCTGCCGGGGTAGCCGCCGCATGTCTCGGTTCCGAAGTCGCCGTAGATACCAAGCTTAAGTCCTTTAGAGTGCATCTGGAGAATAGCATTAACTTGAGATGAACACAAAGCATGTGCATGACAGTGTAGTGAAACCCCCTCAATCCCGAGGACGTGTGTGAGTATGTTTTATGCGGCCTTTAGCAATATTCCAGCAATATCACGGCGGGGGACAACAGAAATGGGCTTCACACATTGTACCCATGTGGGGATTCAAACCCGGGTCTTCAGCGTGACGAGCGGACATTTCAACCATTAGGCTACCCACCGCCCCGAGGATGTAAGAATTATAGAGAGATGTTCCTGGGGGCGTGGCTACAGGACCAACGGGGTCCCGATGTCATTAGGAAAGGAAACATCTGCCCAATCGATCGGTAGCCATGGTAGCGACCTGTTGGCATGATAAACAATATGCGTAAACTTCATAGAGGAAGAAAGGTCAGCCGTCTTCACAAGAGCCTTTATCGTGCAAGTTTAGTCTTAGTACTTTAGTTTTTAAACAGCTTTAACTACTTTGATGTACAATAACCGTCGTTAGCTTTATAATTCAGTGGCAGAGAAAACTACCGTTACAAGGGCACTCCAGGTCCCGTCGGTAAGTAACAGTTTAAGGAAGGGCCCTAAAGTGTACAAGGAAGAAGGCGGTTCGCGCCAAAGGGAGGTGACTCTAATGCATGTATTTTAACGATTTTAATTCAATAATATTTCTGTTATTTCATGGCGTGTCATTATGAGAAAGGTAAGAAACGTAAAAGTGAAACACATCTTAGAAGTTTTGCGAAACCCACTGGTTGTTTGTTGTTTAACACCATGTTCAAAACATTTCACGGGGATCACCAAACATTCTTAATCCAATCTGGACCAGATGATGCAGTGATTGACATCATGAGCATCTATCTTCGGAACCGGGATGCGATGACATGCATCAACCACGTCAGCAAGCCTGACCATCCAATCCCGTGAGTCGCCTCTCGCACTATTCAGGGTGTTAGGGAAGACAAAATACCATGATGTCTTACATATTTTGCTAGGTCTGCCATTCCACTGGGGAACCTTGCTGGATCCGGAACGATCTTGCCCTCGGCATCTCTGTCCTTCAGAGGCCAGCAGTCGTCGATGTTGACGTATTCATAGCCGACATCTTTGTAGCCGTCACTAACAAGTCTATCAGCCATGCGCTTGAAGAGACTCTCGCTTAAACAGACATTTGTTCAAATTAATCAGAATATGCTCTATCAAGTCACTGGATTATCTGGTCGATCATTTTGATTGTCTAACGAAGAGTACTAGTCGTATTGCGGATGTAAGTCTCAGCGGCGCTAGAAACAAAAACACAGTTACCTTATTATGCAATTTCTGACAGACGCTAGGGTTAGGGCAGGATTTCTGTCTAATTTCTGATATTCAGTGACCAATACCAATGCTGATTGGCCTTTTGTGCTATTAACTTTTGACTGACAGGTTACATCTTGTTACAATGATTTTACCATAATTTAGATTTAGATCACAATAAACAAACACGGGGTGATTTCATACGTTATTACTTAATGTATGGTATAGAAATGGTAAATGAGGCAACAAATGCAAATGGCGGTACGTAATGGTATGTGTTTGTTTTGCAATGCACTGCCACGCCACATTCCAATATTCCATGTAGCCTACATTTGTTTTTGTTAACATGAAATGCAACCTCGTAAAATCAGGTCTTATTTCCCGCAACCTCTAACCAGGCTTTGTTTAATGGCAGCGAGAATTATGATTTGATTTTCATTTGATTGATATGAAGTGATAAATAAATGAAGAATGAATACAAGTTCTCTAAATTTGACGGCCTCACAACTAACCAAGAATAAGTAACCTAAAGCTACATATACTGCGTTTTACGTAGGTCCATACAACTTAGACAAAAGGGTGTTTGATTGTACTTTCTAAAGTTTTAACCTATTCAAATGTATTTATGTAAGATGGCTGGATGTATTTTCAAGTGCAGAAATGAAAAAAAAATTGACCAAATATGAAGCTCACCTGATTGAAACCGTGTCATATACCAAGTAATTTAGCTCACCTGATACAGTTGTCAGGTTGTTGCACACAATCAGTAATACACCGGTAACGTTGCCATGACATCCACCCCATCGGTGGCGTCCTTGCGAGGCCGTTGTTGACAGCGTTCACATGAGCACCCAGACATGTCAGCGCGACGAAGAGTACGGCATACATCCTGCAACTGTTAGTGGTCAATAGGTATCTTGAGCTTTATGCACACACTTACAAATGGAAAAATGAAGGTGAAACCCCCACCAGAAACCCAGTGTCTGTTTGTGTTTACGTATATTATATATCTGTGTAGACGTGAGAAAGAGACAGGCGGACAGACAGACAGAGACTGACAGACAGAATTTATCAAGTGTTAGTTTGAAACAGAGAAGTGTGGATAGACCATGACAAGAATATGATAGAGTTAACTCCCTTAGATCGGTAGTCATGCAGGTTTGAGTTTCCACCCAGTATATTTATCTTTCTTTAGTGCCATGATGCTGTGTGGTCTTGTTGCTTTGTTTAACAATGAAGACATGGTCCACTTAATTATTATCTGATCTACAACTGTCGGAATCAAACTGGCAACGGACAACATAAAACGAATTATATGACTCTATTATTGACTTTGACACAACACCACGTTATCACATACATTTTAATGTTTTAACTTATATTCATCCGCCGTCAACATTTTAAAAATAGACGGGTTGTCGTGCGTGTAAGAATTAATGGGTCATGAAGAAGTCGTCAGCAAAGATTTGCTTCACCCTTGAACCGCTAACCTTTGACCTCGCATCATGTGACATCAGATCGCAACTGCCGGTATTTGTACTATTAATAACATGCACCAAGGCAGTATCACATGACTTGCGTAACAATGAAAAGGTAATCTCGTAGACGTTGACAGTCACCAATAGTACATATCGTGTAATTGCAGACTGATAAAATTGTCGTAACCAAGGGATATGTGACAATGATCGATCGATCAAACTATATTTCCTGATTCGACCTGCATACTGAATGAACACACGCTGAACCTGACAGTATTCATAATAACATTGTGTCATTTAAACGAACACTGGTTATGGATAAGATTCTGCAGTTAAAATTCGACCTACCGTCGTTCTTTGCGATGAGCTTGGAGGCGTGCTTCTTCGTACCTTTCTGCAAGTCGCCCGTCAAAACAGGTCACGTGTGTGAGCAGGTCACATGACACGTATTGTCACTCAAAACCGATAATGCGTTCTACCGTCCTGCAGTATGGCAAATTTTGTTTTAATTGTTAACCTGATAGTAGTAGTAGTAGTAGTAGTAGTAGTAGTAGTAGTAGTAGTAGTAGTAGTAGTAGCAGCAGTAGTAGTAGTAGTAGTAGTAGTAGTAGTAGTAGTAGTAGTAGTAAATTGCACATATATCGCATGATCCCTCAGGATCAAACAAAGACCGTTAAAATTCACGTTCATGCTTCAGAAACCGAGAAAACCGACCACATCCAGAAATTAGGATAATGCATGCTAATTCTGTTACCACACAATTACAAATGTATATTCTCAAGTTTCCGTTTTGGAAAGGGTCTCGGAGGATTTGGGAAGAAACCAGTGCGATGGATGACACACTTATTGTTTGCTTTTGTTCCGGGACGTCGGATAATCCGGGTTCGAATCCACTTTTTCCAGTGATTAATATTTTGGGTCTGAAAGGGTAAGGAGTAGCCCAGTTGTCTAGGGCGCTGCAGTTCACAACCTATGATTCTGGGTTCGAATCCTTTAACTTACACCAACAAGCGGGACGATGTTTTCCGCATTTGAACACCTATGCACTAATAAATCGAAACATAAATTCCATACATGTCTCCGAGGTGAAGATCCGGGTTAGAATTGATATCACCAACCAAAAAGCAATGAACGGGATCGGGCTGTAAGGGGCGGTGACGTGGCCTAGGCAGGTCGTTGCATCCCAAAACGATGCTCATGATGTCAATCCCCGGATCATATGGTCCAGATTCAAGTATTTACAGAACTCCGCCATATAACTCGAATATTTCTGTCTTACAACAAACTCGTCCATTTGAAATACCTACTCAAGTTAATTTTCCCTTAATCCTTTTTTTTTTAAATCGTAATATATGCGCTTATGTTTTCAGATGTTCCAGTATGTTTTTTAAAGCGAGTCTTCTAGACACGTTCGTTTCTAATTGGTCACAAATCTAACTTGACAAGATTGTGATGAAGGTAATAGGTAATTGAGGTAGTGAGTGGGAGTTTACGCGGGTTTTCTTGTTGCAACCAAGGTTGGCTGTTTACATTGTCAGAAAGTATAACGTGCAGTCTCATCTAGTCCTTGTGTGGTAGTAATTGTTTTGTGGCAGCGAAAACAAAGATCTTCTTCTGGTGATATTATGAGAACGTGGGGAATCGAACCTAAGTCGACAGTGTGTCGAACGTTTTAACCAAGAACTGCCCTTCCGCCCAAGCGCAAACGAGTAGCATTTTCTAACGGAGAAATGCCGTATATTTATCGACATATACAACCACTGAAGACTATTGACAACATCACATGAGTGTTGAATCACGAGACGGGGAATTGACAGGGTCTCGTGACAGATGTGTTCAACACCAGCCTTTGTGTGTTCAGGATGTCCCGTGAGTAGAGGATGTGTTGCAAACAAAAGCTTCACGTGATCATCAAATAAACAGACCATTACCTCCACTAGATTACCGCAAAACGGATACCGCGTGCAGCTCACATGACATCTGGATTACATGTCTACGAGAAAAGTTACAAGGCTTACGAGTGTTTTGTGACGGGGCCCTGGAAATGTCAACATTGAAAATAAAACATTAATAAACTAAAACGATTGTACATCTCCAAGAGACGTGGAATTACATAGGACAAAACGTTCCACATACTTTGTCACAGAAACCGTGAAATTTGGTTAGTTTGATATGATTTTAACTTGCGGACATACATGAGTGAACAATTCGTTTTAATGTTGCAGCATCGTTCTGGTTTGCATAACACGTGTCAAAGGTAGTAGGTGATTAAATATGGGGATTAACACATTATAATGATTGCAAGGGGAGCAGTCCTCGTTTTATCCTGTTAAGGGCCAGCCAGGGTAACAAGAAGTACCATCTTTAACAACGATTGGTAAGACGCGGCCGGGGTCGTACCACCACACTTCCTCTCTCCGGGCAGACGCTCTATCCCACAGACCTCGGACGTGTTTTTCCCTGTCATTAAGCCTTTAGGATTCAAACAGTAGATAAATAAACTTTCCATGATATTTTTTGGGTGCAGAAGCGAAGGCATTCTGACAGATAGATATATCAATGCAAACAGCAAACATTATACACCTTCTGCCTATAAGAATTAACAGGCCAAGAATAAGTCACTTATTGTTTCCACATTTTCCAAAGGAGGCGTTATGAACAGGAAAATAATTTTAAGAATGTTTTAGTTGACTAACATTTAAGTAGTCTCTGAAATTATATATGTTGACAGCAAAAAGGAACTACTGAGTGGAAGGGTGAGGTGAGGTGAAATTGGGTTTAACGTCGTGCTTGAGAATATTTCGCTCATATGACCACGTGCATGCGTGTGTATGTGTATGTACGGCTGCTTGTACTAGCCCAGACTGAAGCTGGTTTTATAGTGCTAGCCCACTGACATACCATGCCGCAGTGAAGCATGAATACCCACTCAGACACATTATACTGACTCCGAGCCGACCAGTCTTTGTTGTACCCATTAATGCCGAACGCCAGGCAGGGACCAACAAGTCCCATATTTTAACGTCTTTTGGTATGACGCGGTCGGGGATGGAACCCTCGGCCTTCCACTCTCCGGGCGGACGCTCTAACCACTACACCACGGAAGCGGTCGCTGAGTGGAAGGGGACTTTATATAGTTCGGGCACAGGGGCGTGTCACGCTTAGAAACAGCCTTAGAAAGACATACAGGTATATAGACCCTACCCTAGTACTATATATAGTACTAGAAACAGCTTTAGAAAGACGTACAGGTATATAGACCCTACCCTAGTACTATGATCCTTTTATATAGTACTAGGGTAGGGTCTATATTCCTGTATGTCTTTCTAACGCTGTTTCTAAGCGTGACACGCCCCTGTGTGTTCGGAGACTGTGAGGCAGACTACATATTTTTAGTTTTATGTATTTTTCCTGATGGTGTGATACAATCTGTTGTGGAGTGTATATGTTATCATAAACAAACATAAACAAACATGACTCGACTGATTCGAACATATATGTTCTACATTTGCACAAGCCAAATACAATGTAGTTGGACTGCAGGTGCGACATTAACTGGCATGGAGACCATACAGTGCCAAGATCCCGATTGTGACAATATTAACTTGATGCTTGTCTCTGTGTTACAAGCTCCTGTGCTCCCCTAATGAAGTCTGTGGAGTGGACAGGTGCGAATCCCTAGAATCTTGAACACAAGTTGAAGTAGTTTAATGCAATACCTTGTCCTTATATGCTGAGTTTTATAGTCATTGCTGTTTGTTGATAGAATGTTGAAACATAAATGCTTAATTTACTCAATTATTAACTTAAACACAACTTTATATTGAAGTACTTCATCAAGTAACCCAACCCACATGGACATTCTTAAATCTATACACGAGTTTATCATAAAAAGCAAACGATTTCAATTATCATACTTATACATTTTTAAGGCTGAATGTACAATGAATTCCAATCTGCAAATCTGTTGTCACGTTGGCACCATTGATTCACAAGTCATACTTTGTTGACCTATTTAGATCATTCCTTTTATTGTTCATTGTTGCCCAAGTGGTATTGATTTAAGCATTTTAGCTTGTTTACCAATCTGTGTTTCTTTTGAAGCGGTATTGATATAAGCATTGTCGCATGTTTACCAATCCGTGTTTCTTTTGGATGTAAAATATGCTTCAACCAAATATAAATTCTTTTCTTCCACATGTAGAGTCACCATTCAGTGACATTACAACAAGGAATCCCCAATCTACTCTCGTATTTAAAATGTATGTACAATATACATGTGAGCATCACAAACACAAACAACAACAGGATATATGAGACCTTTTGTTTTTATTTGAAAGGAGATCACATTTAAACATATTATGTACATATAAAATCTTAAAATATGCACTTATAATTATATGCAACCAATTTAAGTTGCAAATACAAACATACCACTCAAAAGAACCCAAGACACATGATTCTATTACAATAGTTAAACTGAAACGCCCTGATTCATGCCTGTGGTAAATATACTCATGGAAACTAATAAGGGAACACATGAAAGTACAAGTGTTCCTTTATTATTTTCCAGGTTTCTTCACAAGGTATGTATTGCACTGTGGGTGAAATTCTGGAAATAAATAAAGGAACACTTGTACTTTCACGTGTTCCCTTATTAGCTTCCATGAGTATATGCATGAATTTGTGTTTTTAACTTCTTTTGAATAGTATGAATAACTCCTGTCACTATATAATTTAATGCAATGTCAAATGTCATGTATACCTTGAAACTTCACCATTCAAGCTTACAAATTCTGAGAACTGAGTATAAGAACTGGATTTCAACAATTCGTGGTGGATGTTATCAAACTCGACCAATTATCATTGTAAATGATGCCAACCAGTATTAAGAAAGTACAAGGTGAAAGTCCCTCACTCATACAATAGATGCAGCTCATGTCTTTCGTGTGTCAGAATCAAAGTCATCATCAACTTGATCCTACCAGCAGCATTGTTCAGTAATGGCTGGCAGTGACATGTTAGAGGTAGATGTCATTAACACTATCAATTTCTGCAGTACAGTATCAAATAAACAGCATTAAATGTCTAGTAGATTGCATGTTAATTATGTAAATTAACCATATCAAATATCGATGTGCTGTATTAATTTAAGTGGTAGCATTAGGTTCAATGAATATATATAGTATATATAGTTTAATCAATAGACCTTGAATTTCCACTCAACAGAGTGTAAAACTTCCATACAGATAGGTCGCTCTGCTCAGTGTGCAATAAAAATGTTACAACATGCCATGCAAACCACATTTCTGAACTCGGGCACATTCATACATAACAATGCAAACAACCAATACAATCTCACCAAATTCAGAACGTATATTCAGATATGATCAGGGGTGGAAATAACTTTAAAATTGCTAGTGTACTCCGGTACAGTGGCACATGTAAAATCACTTG